GTTTTCGGCTTCCGAGCGACATTACCCGAGAACCGGTTAACTGCTCTCGTATTTTCCACATCTCCGGGATGGCGAAGGAAACGGCCTGATTTTTATCGTTTTATCGACGAAATGCCAGGGAAGATAAAAGTCAGGTAAAATCCAGAGCCCACGGACAAAGAGATGCGATGGAAAAAAACAAAAAAAACAAAAGAAGGCACGGAGGAAAGAAGCGCGAGTAAGAAAACCGAGACGGAGAATAACACGCGGGGGGGGGGAGGGAAAAGAGGGAGAGAAATCGCCGGAGTGGCGTATCGATCTCGAGGAGGGGTGAGCCGGCGCTGACCGGCGGTCAATGAGATACGGTCCTTCCCTTCCCCGCCACTAGACACAAAGCGAGTCTCGCGAGAAAGTCAGCAAGGAAAGGCTCAAAAGGGGGGGCTCCTCGCCTAAGCTACCCTCGTGGTACGCGGAAGTCACGCCGACCTCACCCCCTGCTACCACCACCACTATGTCCTGCATCCCCCAGCTTAACGCTGCCGTGATTCATACACTCGATGCTTATACACGTACGCTCCGTTTAACAATGACTGTCCGGTCATACTTGACTCCCTACTGCACGCCCGCGCGAGTTACTTAGTACGCATCCGTGCATTTAAGATCGCATAGTAGCAAAATCGTATGATCGTGTCGTTGATTGAGTAATCAATTTTATTTCGGTACAAGTACAGAGGTATACAATATAATGCTCGTCATCGTAATTTGGCTCCTCCTCGGTTTGAATCGCACCGAGACTTTTTTTTTGGCGCGCGTTCGTTTGTATACATTACCGTATCCGTCTTATTATACGGTTCGTTAAAGAAATCCTGTCTCGTTACTCAAAATTATACGGTAGCCGGTACTCGATGCGAAATCCGTATACGTGGTATACGCATTTAATACCGGCTGAAAACCAAGTGGAGCGGAATATCTCGGGATTCCCAGGGCACACGGAAGCGAAGGAAATTCCAGTCCCTCGATCAATCAAAAATTGTATCGTTGAAACGTACAAGGCACGTGACCTACTTTCCCTCGCCGAGGTAAAGAGAAATTCAGCCCCGCGTTGAATGAGGGAAAAACAACTTTTTTCGAGGTAACACGAGAAAATCTCGTACATCGGGATAGCTGCATAGGAAAGGGGCACGCCAAGCCTGCCGCATGTAAGGACCGTCGACCGCATTCCTTTCTCTCTCTGTCTGACCCTCGATATGTAAGGTACTCGTACACACACACACACACACACACACACCTGGATAAATACGAAATTATGCGTACAACCATTTTACTTTAATATCATGCCAAGGAGGCACGCGATGTCCATCTCGTTTTTTTTTCGCGCAATGCATTCCAGCCTCAATTGCGTGTTGGTAATATCGCGCGTGGAAATAATGAGAGCAGCGTTTCCACGCCCAGTCGAGAAGAAGAGAGATTTACACACGCACACAGTGGAATGGATGTACCTTTTCTTTTTTTCCTATTTTAAAAATTTTTTTTTATGGTAATTTAATAACGTTGCGGTCGTACTTTGCGTTAGAAGCGTTAGTTGTGTAGCCACAGTGTACTCCTGGGATGATTGAGGTTCTTCGTTGTTCACGTATAACGTATGTGCCCAGTTAGCAATCTCTTGAACATTTAGCTCGAGAAGGCGAACGCCTCGGGTGTGCTCGAGGATAAATCATTTCCAGGATTCGAGCAAAGCCAGGAAAGCTTTGGAAACCCGTGTTTCCAAAATCCACCATTCGTACCTTCGAAAAGACAATTTCATATAGGGAAACGACGTTGTACACAGCAAATGATCCATCAATCGTCGTCGCAGTTGTCGCCGTTCGAATGCAAATTCCCGTCCACCCCCTTCGTCCCGAGGAAGCTTCGAGCCCTCCTTCCGGGATCGCAAGTACTCGCTCGCACCGGGAGAGGGTGCGGGGTTAGAGACCCATCGAGGCTCGTCCCTCCCCCCGAGCCGCCGAAAGAGGGCGGAGGCTGCGCGCGCAAGCTCTGCTCCCTTGGCAAATCGGAGCAAGAGGGCTCGGGGCGCCACGCCCCCTTGTCCAGAGCTTGCAAGCCCCCGCTTCGGGGGCGACCACGTGCTTCGTCCCGCGAGCGGTGCGTTTAGGGTGTGAACGTTATGAATATTGGTGGGTATAGGGTTTCCGGGGGCCAAGGGTCAGTGGTGTACTACTGGACTGCGTGTACGTCTTTGATAACATTTGTTGCTCAGATAATGAAAAAGGAATGCCGGAGTTGTGGATGGGTTGAGATATCTGATTTGAAGAATGGACAATTAATCGCTAGTTGTTTCCACGTCTTTACGGATACATCGTTCCTTTTTTTTTTTTTTTTTCTGAATAATACATGTCTTTGAGAAATTAGCTCAAACCAAAAAATTAAACTGATTCGCAGTTGAATTTAAAACTTTTAAAGTTTATAAACCAAGCTAACTTGATTTGGCAAATTCACGGGACGGTGAAAATTACTCACTCGATACTCAGTAGATATGAGTTTACTTGCAAAGTGAATTGCATTAAAAATAAGTGTTTTACGTAGCCTTGAAAGCTTATATGATATGTTGTTTTGAACAAAATACATAGACATAGCAAATAATCATTGATTTTTTTTTTTTTTTTTTTTCATAAAAAAATAAACCTAATATGCGCTAGTGATAATATATGCTAAACTCTTACTGCATCAATCAGCACGTCCATGCCATATTTCCCTTTCCCCGTGTGGCACAAGCAAAGATAGAAGAAATAGAAAAAGAGAGAAAAAAAAAAAAACATCATCACTTTACGATTCCTCGCGCCGTGATTTTACGATCCGTCACTTCTTGCACGATAGCTGTTGATACAAGCACAGGTATACACACAACACGTGCACACTCATCCAAGACCCTCCGTGGCGCGCGTACATTGCGTGCGGCCAGCACCAACGGACCTGGTCAGTGCTTACACCTTATACATGTATACACAGCCAACGATCTGGGCCATATACACGCAAGCCGGCCATACACTCTTTGGTGTACACATGGTATATACGTATATACCTCTGGTGGTAGAGCTTCTTATAAGGTCGTGCGGGCGCGCGTGTGTGTATCACGCGTATGCGGCAACTCTCGGCTCCCCTTTCCTACCCAAGATCCGGTCCCTTCTTTCCACTGACTCACTTTCTTCGCTCTCGACTGTGTTTTTTTTTTTTTTTTTTTTTTTTTACGTATGTAAATAACTCCCTCGCAAATGTATAATCTCTACTACCCTCCTCCCTTTTGTCGTGTGTACTTACTTGCTTTCTTTTCAATCACCATAAAGGCTTACTTTTTTTCGTTTCTTACGTCACGGCCAATTTTCAGCCAAGCTTTTGTTGTCAGACAAAGTAGCTCATACTTCTCCATTTCTTTTTTTTTTTAAGTGTTTTTCGCTCCCTATTTTCGCATAGTGTATCTACAGTGTTCGCGTCTATAAATCATCATTGTGAGTTGACTCAAACTGTCTACTGTAGGTATAGCTGGCCGAGCCCTCCCAAGGGTGAGACTCATAAATGGAGATTCACAGCGGAACTGCCCGTATAAAGTATAATCGATTCCTTCCGATCTTCCTTCAAATTTTTTTTTTTTTTTTTTTTTTTCAATCAATCACTCGACACAAGGCAATGTAATTTCTTGAAAGCAAAGTCGCATTTGAGAAGATTGGAGAATATTGAATGTATATTTATTTGTATAGGTAAGCGAGTTGGGTCTCATCGGTTACGCTAATGGGATTTCAGGGCGAAAAGTTTCCACACGTCAGTGGTTATTAGATAATTTAAGTTCGATAAGAGTACGGCCCACTTTGGCTTCCGTGCGGCTGTTAAATGTTTGCCGAGATTCTCGTTTGTTGACCCCAAGAGCTCGCTCGCTCTTTCTCTCTGCTTAAGATTTCTTAGTTTGTTCGGTTTTTGAGTGCTCGATAGCAACAAAAACTATAATATCAACGTACAGATCACGTGTTTAGCCACGTCTGACTATTTTCGAGCTCTACTACTGAAAATTATCGTGCTTTTGGATTTGACAATATAATGTTAATAAATTCATTTTCAGTCATGTCTGACTGTTTTCAGGGTGTACTACAGGAAATCAAAAGTGCCTGTAGTCTCGATCAACGAGCACTAGTAATATTTGTGTGAATCGTCAACGTACAAATATCACATTTTCAGCAATGTCTGACTATTTTTGGGATTTACTACTGAAAATGGAAAGTACCTTCAGATGCAACGAACAAACATCCGTAACACTGGTACTTGTTAATTGTCAAAATACATAGGGTTCACGTTTTTTAGCAATGTCTGACTATTTTCGGACTCTACTACTGAAAACCGATAGTGCTTTCAGATTCGGCACACTAACGTTTGTAAAATGTTGCGTTTTCAGCAATGTCTGACTATACTTTTGGGACGTACAAATCAAAAGAGCCTTCAGACTCGAAAAACAAACTAATATTTTTATTAATTGTCAACTGTAGACATGACGTTTTCAGCCATGTCTGACCATTTTCGGTATGTACTACTGAACATCAAAAGTACTTAAAAATTTGACAAAAAAAAAAAACATTACGAATGCGTTGAAAAAGCGTCGATCTTACAAGGAATACGGAAACGGTGAAAAAATATACAAAGCTGTTTAGGGGGAAAAAAAAAGTTGGGCCAACGAGGGGAATTAATGAGCCGCACAGAGGCGATCGAATCGCACCTTGGAGCGAATAAATAAACAACATGAAGCCAGAAAAAATCCCGCAAAAATGCAGCAAAGTAGGCCTTGGTTCTAAATCAATGCACACAATACGCGCACATCATTCAGATAACAATCCCCCAGTGACCCACTTGGCAGTGCCGCACCCACCTCGACCGGCAATCATAACACAACAGACAGGTTTTTCGGTACTTTGCTCGAAGCTATACCATACATATTATGTGTGTGGTTACAATTGTACGCGTAAACGAAGGATTTGGCGTACCTTGAATGTCTTGTAGCTGGAGACGACGTAGGAGGCGCCGTCCTCGAGCTCGTCGAGGCTGATCTTCCGGTCGCCGTCCATCGAGAATATGTGCCGAGCGCCCCGTGGCAGATCCAACCGCAGGGAAAGCCGGTCGAGCAGCGCCTCCAACGAGCCGATATCCCGTCCCGGCTTGAATCTGCATTTTCGTTACAAATTTTATTTTTTCATTTTTCCACGTAACATCAAATTTTTCACTATTTGCCGTGCCACAATTATAAATATGCGGGGAATTTAAGCGATCGCGTTTCAAAATCCACAGGATCATTCCTGAAGAAATGTCGTGTGTTACGGTAGCCATCATCGATTTTTCAAAAAGACGCCGTGCGATGGACGTCGCCACGATAACGACCGCGCGATTTGCATACGCCGAGTGCACAACATATCGACTTTGATTGAGAATGTAAGCTCTGACGAAACAAAAAGAAAAATGTAAAAAAAGAAAATCCGTTGAAAAAGTCCGTGTTGGTCTGCAATGACTTAACGACTTAATTTGTGTTGGTACTTGGAAAAATAAATGATTGCATTTTCCGGCAGCTGAACGTAATCGACAACAACACCATCGGTTCGAGGGTTGAAATTAAAAGTGCATTCAACCGGACGGCGATGGCCCACCCGCACGCCAAAAGCGGAGGTTATGGCATGCGGTAGCACCCCATATTATATACCACACGTGTACATACACAGGTATACGAACGCGTGTGCATTTATGCAAAGTAGCCATCGCCGCATAGGGAAGGTTGTGCGGTGGGAGGGGGTAGGTTGGGCGCAATACGTATAAACACGTATAGGTAGAAGAGCCATTGCGCGAGGGTGGAAAAGTGAAGCTCGGCTGGACGTACCTGAACTCGACGCCGGGAAAGAAAGGGTCGCCATTCCTGTAGAAGGTGACGCGCCTGGCGCGCCAGTAGCCAAGATTGTTGTACCTGGACGGGGGCTGCACGATCGGTGCCTGGTGCTGTATCAGCTGCTCGTGACGAAGATTGTGGCTGCTGTTGCTCCTGGGCCGGTGATTGTGGATGTTGCTGTTGTTGTTGTTGTTGCCAGCTCCGGTGGTCGTACCAGTAGTGCCCGTAGTACAGCTGCTGCTCGAGGTAGCTCCTGCCAACTGGTGCTGCTGTTGCAGCTCAAGCTCCGGGGGCGGCATGCGGGGACTGGAGGGTCTGTTCTGCCTCGTGCTCCAGTAACCGCCCATACAGCCACCGCTCACCGCCGTCACCGCCCCACCCCCTCCTCCTCCTCCTACCCCTGCCCCATCGCCAAACGCCAAGAGTCCCCTACCTCTGAAGCCCCCACCCCCAAAGCCATTGCCCGTTGCGAGCCCCTCCAGCCCCATGACCGCGGCCACCTCCGCCTCGGCTGCCAAGTCCTCCTCGTCCTCCTCTCGCTCCTCCTCCTCCTCCTCGTCATCCTCCTCCTCCTCCTCCTCCTCCTCCTCCGAGCGAGTCTTGCCATCTATCCTTCTCACTCCTCCTCCTCCCCCCTTGCCTTTGCCGCCACCGCTGCTGCTGCTACTGATGCTGGCGCCGTCCGCGACTGCGCCCTTAACTCCCTCCTTCGGTATCTGCTGCGGCTGCTGCACGCACATACATCCTTTACAGTATATATATATATACACACACAGAGGGGTGGGGAAAACTCCACTCCCGTTGTTTGGGGGTAGGGGAGGATTTATAGGACGGTATGTTGCGCGTCCACCCCACGCCACCCTTACTCTTGATAAAACCTTCCTCTCTCGCCGATTTATAAACCGCGCGCCGAGAGCTTGCACACACACACACACACACACACACATGGCTCGGTGACGATTTATTCGATGTGCTTTTGGCGAATCGGCGGGTGTTGAATTTGTCACGGAAAGGCAGCGCCGAAAAGTTGGAAAAGAAAATGAAACGACCAATAGGTTTGTTTTTTTTTTTTTTTTTTTTGTAGCTTATTCCACGCGCATGGACTCGTCAAATGTCAAATCGAGCAAACATCAAACCGAGAGCTATATACAACCGTAAGAGTAATGATCTCGCGTTTCGTGGGCAACGTATGGCCTTCACAAGAGAAGGGAGGGCTGGTATCAAATTATGGCATCCAATAACGAACCGATTGGTATACTCGAGGCGTGATTTAAAAAGCATTTATTCAGCCGGGAAAAGCCAAAATTGACACGCGACGAGGGAAAGAAAAAAAAAAAAACATTGTGCGTCCAACTTTACCCTCGCGTCAAAGTCGTCGTCCTCCTCGTCCTCGGCGTGTGTCCGATTGTTGTTGTTGTTGTTGTTCTTCATACCAACAATGTGGTTGTTGTTGACCACGCGCCTTTGTTCCTTCGGTGACGGCTGCCCGTTGGTCGGCGGCTTGGGCTGACCGAGCATTTCCGTGCTCGGCCTCGGAGCCGTCGTCTCCCCGTTTTTCACCGGCACCTCGGCCTTGGTGGGCGACGGGTCGGCCTGGGCTTCGGCTGGCTGCTTGCCGCTCGGGGCAATGCCCTCGCCGTTCTGCTGGCCGCGCGCCGCTAGCATGTTGGGGGCTCGCTCCTCTTTTTTTTTTTTTTTTTTTTTTTTTTTTTTTTTTTTCCTTCTTAGAGAGCGTTCGTTAAACGGCTTCTTCTCGTATAGCGGCCTGGGCTTCTCACTTCCTTTCAGGCTTTTTACGTACGTTCCAGGCTTAGTGGGCGCTTTTTCCTTCGCATAACAACGGTTTCAGGTCCTTTCGGACGTTGCTCCTCGGCGTTACACCCGGTGCCATCGCCACTCAACAGTAACTGGAACGATTTCTCATTGGGCCGTTATCCGCTCGTCACTGGGGAAAAAGAAAACACGATAAAAATGTTGATACATTGTGCAACCCCCCTTGCGTGGATGCAGCTTCGTATCGGCGAGTCACGATCTTTCTGCGAGGAGGAAAAACAAAGAAAAAAAAAAAAAAATCACTCGAGCACGTGAGAATGAATTATCTTATGCAAAACGCGCCCCCGGATAATAACGATATAGGTCCCGTGCAAGCGCGTGGGCCGAATAAAAATTCCCCGATTCGTCGGGCTGATACACTTGTAAGTGGCGCTCGTATAAGTTAAAAGCTCAAATGTTGGCGGCGGGGCCAGATCGATTCGCGGATAAACATTGGCTCTCTCGTGCTGTACCCGATGCTTGGCACATCCAAATCATCCATCATAGCGATGTGTGTATGTAAAGCCGAGATTTACAAGCGACCGCAGTGTGATACCGTCCGTTGTTATGTACCTACTGTAAATTGTGTTGTCGTGTGTGTGCTACTTGTATCTTTGCCGAGAGATTGATACGTCCGCGTTTCGCGGAGGGAAATACTGTTTGGCTGTAGCCGATCGTCGTGTGTCGCGTTGCGTTACGGGATGAAAAAATAACGTTTGTCACGCCTCGGGGATATTTATTTTGCGTTTATATAAAATTTGACGTTAACCACGGTATTTACAAGCAATGATGCAAAAAAAAAGGAAAAAGAAAAACGTTAACGATTGTAAAATTTTCAAGTACGTGTTGAAATAATTACGCAACGCGATGTAAAAAGTCGGCCTTGAGTTCGAACGACTCGGTAATCTCCTCGTAAATCAAGCCACGCGCGGCACATTGTTTGAATTTGAAATGTTGATGAAAAAAGATCGGTAGGTGGGGTACGACGAAAATGATTAATTATTGCGCTCCGCGACCGCGTGATCCATCATGCGTATACGCGCGAACCGTGTGTATTTTATTTTTCATCGAATACAACGAACACGCTATTCTTTTGAAGAATCCAACGATCCCTCGTTTCGAAACTCTTTCTTTTTTTCTAAAACACGAAACCAAATTAACTCTTAAAATTGCCCAGTAAAAAATTGGTTACTAGAGCAACAGTTCCCAAGTACGACAATCGTAAGAAAAAAAAAAAAAAAAAAAAAAAAAAAAAAAAAAAAAAAGAAAAGAAAAAGAGAAATTTACTTGCAAATCATCACCAACGAGGATTTAAATTAAGTTGTTGCAAAACAACGTCTCACTATCACGTCACTATAGACCACAAAACGAGGAAGCTAGAATTAAAAAAAAATAAATAAACGTACGTAATATAAAAGTCAATTACCCATCAGCGAGGCGAATAATGAGCTCGTGTGCAGCTTCCACGAAAAAAAAAAAAAAACAAAAAACAAAAAACCAGGTACAACGGCACCAATGAAAAAAAAAAACAGAGGCCAGCGTGAGCACTAAAGCTCCGTCGAGGTGCGAGCGCTCTCGTAAAACTGCACCCCCGGATTATACCTACTTATACACATCCCTCTGCTTCTCGACGGGCGCACACGCCCCCTCTTTTTTTTCGTCCACTCCCCTCCAATTTCCCTTTTTTCTCTGCTCTCTCGCGGCTCTCGAGAACAACTCAGCCGGGGAGAGATTCGACTTCTCTCGGCCGCGCAAAGTCCCTCGAGCGCTCTCCTGCCGCGGCACGTGGCTCCGATGGGTGTCCGTTCGATTCTACGGCTATAACTTGCAAGCGCGTCACTGTTTATGTTTCGTGTACTTTCCCACCGCGAGATCGGAGATACGCACATCGCTACACACAAGGACAGCTATGATGGATCGACGCGCGTGATCCTTACAAATTTTCGTAAAGGCCAGATACAAAATGTGTAATATACACATATTATAAACTTACGTGATGGCTCGAGAAGGTCGTAATGGAGCCTCCACTTGGTTTTCTTGGCGCGTCTCGGTCCAAGGCCACTCACCGCGCGAAAATAAAAACAACACATCTCCCCCCCATCCTCTTGCTTCACTCTGCTGACAAGGGATGAACAACAACAACAACAAAAAAAAACAAAAAAACAAAAATACGAATCACCAAATCTCGATGACGCGAGCGAGAACGATCCAAATGAGAAGTCCCCCGTGACGAGCGGTGCACGCACAGCCGTACAGGGGCATGGTGGGCCGTGTGTAGACTCGTGGGGGGTGGGTTGGTGCGTGTCCTTCGACGGTGCCGTACGGGCGTCGAGTGCTGGCAGTACCGGGGAGCAAAGAGCCCGAGTCGAGTCGAGCGCGCGTATACGCAAGCGTATATGTATATATACACGCTGAGGGCGCCGGTGTCAGTGAACCGAGCGCGCCGCTTTATACACCCCATGTATATAGAACTTGTTGCTGCACGGGGAGCCTTACACCCCTTACTGTACTTTGTAACGGGTACATACGCGTGTGGGTGTGGGTTTTCTCTTGCACGGCCACCCTTTGTCTTGGCCCGCTCTCGGTTGCCGAGGGGGTAGAGGGTTTTTTTTTTTTTTTTTTTAATCCATCAACCCTGCGGTCTGGAGGATCCTTGGAGTCGCCCTTTTTTTCAGCTTCCGGACAATTTTCTGCTCTTTCCGTGTTTACTGAAACCAAAGACACTGTCTGTTGCTTCCTTGATACGATCGAGCGGAAAGTAATGTACACAAAGCCGCGCCTCTGTGATCCGCGAGTTGTTTTTACCTCGCGTCGAAGGGTTCGTTGAAAATTCGGGAGTAGGTACTTTGTTTGATGAGAAAAGATAAAAACTTTGCTGCAACCCGAGCCCTCGCTTTCGAAAAAAAAAAAAAGAGAAATTACACCCTTCGTTGGTCATCTCGAAGGTCGAAGGTAATACAACAAACGAGTGGCAATCAAGCGCGCCATTCGACCTTATTTCCACTGTATACCGATCCCACGTAATAATCGGTACTCACAATCAGCCTCGATATTCGGAAAAACACGTCTCAAAATTAAGGCTCGGCCCGTGTATTAGCGGCGCGACGATCATATATATATATAGAGGAATCGTTCGGCTTAACGATATGCTCGGGGTGCAAGAGCGCCGTGTGTGTATATAAATATACGTGTGTGTGTGCCTCCGAAGCACAAAGACCGGCCACACGCGAGCCTCGCCTTCGACGCTACCTCTATACTTCTTCCTCTTTCCCTCGACGACGGCCGTCGACTTCCGGTCTGTGGAATGGCCGGCTGTACACACGTATAATATACACGCCGATCGAAGCCGAGCTTGCGCGTATTTACCTTTGGGTGTGCGTCGACTGGACTACTCTTGCGTAAGCCGTTGTAGGGTTGGATTTTATAATTGACGGGCTTTACTCGGGGAGGATATGTTTTGTGGAATTGGCTTGGGTGCATATTGGGCTGAGATTGGGGGTTTTTGGTTGAGGAAACCGATCATTTCTTTTCGATGAACGAGCTTTTGATGAGTTGCGGGTGCCTTCCGGCGGAAAATAAAAAAAAGAAATCTCATACCGAGGGATTGAGCTTATGGAAAAGAGAGTACGTGTCGTCCGAGAGAAAAACAAATTTAATTTGAAAAAAGTGCATTTATTCGATGATGTAAGGAATAAGTTATATGGCGTAGAAATATATCTCTGAAAATTATACTCATTTGGCCGTCTGTATTACCAAGAATAAATCGCATGTGTGGTTTACTTGATTGATTAATTTATTCGTCTGTTAACTTGTTGTAATTTCTTGAAAAAATAAATAAAGTTTGCTCCAACGATGAAAATACGTGTGCATTAAATTTTTCAGCTATGTGGGAAAATAAAAATAACTTAATAAGTATGTAAATTACTTTGCAAGATTATTATGAAACTTTGTACGGTCAAGTCGACGTCAAGTTTAAATTACTCCTACGATCCGTATCAAAAGCACCTAGAAGAAGTATTTTGTAACAATAGCAATATTAATTGATGCAAAAAAGCGATTTTCCGTTTGTTGGAGTTATTCTTTTTTTTTTTTTTTAATTGATTTTAATTTTTGTACCGCAGTTATATAGGAAAAAAAAAAAAGCTTGCAAGTGAAAGACACAAACTGACAAAGGTCCATAAAGGCGAACAAAACGTATAAAAAAAAATACACGTTTTGTCGTGAAAAGATAATCTTTTTTTATTATTATTTTGTTTTTTTCACATGTTATTTGTTAACAACATCAAATTAGAATGATTGTTTAAGAAATATGACTTGTCCCATAGAAACATTCAACAAAGCATCCTCGTACAAAAAAGAGAAGAATCGCTAAATTAAGAAATATTGAAAAGAAAAAGAAAAAAGCATATTGTCAATCAATACCCTAACAATATAAAAAAAAAAACAGCACAAAGTCTCCACGAATACTTAAATTCTCACTGCAAAAATCATAAGGGCCCGCGTTACGAGTCCTCGAGTGTGACGCAAAACGTCCTACCAGCTTTAATAAATGCTTAAGCGCGTGCGTCCTAGTAACGTTTATTTTCTTTTTTCCTTTACATTTTTCTCGCGTTTTTTTTTTTTTACTTCATATTCGCGTGCGCACACACCCTCTTCAAGGCGGGCGATTTTCTCTCACGTGACCATACGATCGATTTGAAAAAAAGGGAGACCTTTTTTTCGTCCTTAATTAACTCGGATTTTCATTCGATCGCAGCCCACTGCACTCGCGCGATTCGTGTAATTAAAGCTGCGCTTTTCGCGTGCGAAACCCATGCTTTGCGGTTGAAACTTTCGTTCGCACATGGATGTGCATTATTTACGACAGAAGTAGATTTATTTGGCATTGCGCTATAAATGCTACGTTAAATTTATTTCTGTGACTTTACATAAAACGGCATTGTGCATTGGTAATTCTCATTGCGAGAAAATTAAAAAAAGAAATTGAATATCTGGTAATACAATATTCACTCAATTGAAGGCTTTTTTCAAGGCGTAGCGGCTAAATACTTGGAAATGTCATATCAGCTTATGGATTATCGCGGATATACCAGGCGACGAGTTGAGGAAAAAGAAAAGGTAAGAATGCCGGTCGCGTGCCTCGCTAAAACTCGCCGCGATAAGCCTCGAGCGATTAAAAAAGGGGCGGCACGGAAAAATCGCCGCGGAATTATTATGCCTGGATTTTTAGTGGGCCACGCGTGAATACGCGCGCTGTGTGTTGTATAGTAAACAGCCTAGAGTGTAGAGTATGCTTTTTTTTTCTGTACATGGAAATGGTGGGGCTTCATTTACTTAATAGTATACGATATCACTGCTCTTCCGCTTCAAGTTCCTTCTTTCGCTTTTTGCTCTTTTTTTTTGATTTCTTGGTCGAATCTGCGTTGTTTTCTTTTTCACTGACAGTTTTATCTTCTTCGGCTGATTTGCGCTTTTTCTTCTTTTTTCGTCGTGGTGCCTCCTCGTCGTTGTCTTCACTAATGGTATTCTGAATTTCTAATGGAGGGCATTCCTGGGTTTCTGTGGACTTTTTTCGTTTTTTATGTTTACGCGACCTTTCCTCCTTGTCTCCTTCATCATCTACGCTTTGATTTTCCATCTGATCATCTTGAGGGGAATGTTGGTCTTGAGACGATTTTTTGTACTTTTTTTTCTTCTTCTGTACCAGTTCTTCCTCTGCACTTTTCACCTCTAAAAATTTTTGTTCAGAATGAGAGTCCTCTTGTAACTTGGTTTTTTTCTTTTTCGATTTTTTCGACACAAGAGGATCATTTTCAATCGTTTCAGACTCTTTTAACAATCCATTGTCTGCGTCGTTTTTTTCTTTCATCTGAAGTTTATGTTCCGGATTGTCTTGAACATTTTTTCCCTTTTCCACACTTCCATTGTTCCCATAAGCATCAGACTCTTTTATTGTTCGCTCAAACATCGCTACGAAAAAACCGTTGCACGAGTCTTTTTCAGGTAGAGCATAGAGACATCTGTCGCCATGATCGCTGTAATCGTTCGACCCCACGTTATGCCATTCGTTGTTCAATTTTTCTTTCAAATCCACGAGCTGAAACTCATTACCAACTTTCCTAATTGCTTCCTCAACAACCCACTCGTTTTCTTGCGGATAGATCGAGCACGTGCTGTAAATAACTCTCTTAACGTTTGGAAATCGAAGAGCGTGACCAAGGATCATCGACTGCAAATTCTGCAGTTTTCTCAGTCTGCCTTTCAAATCGTGTTGTTCTTGTCGCATGATTTCGATTCTGTCGACTATTCCTGAACCGGAGCAGCTGGGATCGACTAAAATGTACTCTACATTTGGATATTGGTCTGGGGATATTTTTAATGCATCGTCATTGATGGCCTCAATGCAAGTTGCATTTTTTTCCGTAGTAACATCGCACAAAGTCTTGTATCTCTTCTCGTTCATTTCAACTGCGTAAATTTTTCTGAAAATCAAAAAAATTTTCTCTTCATTAAATGCGCTTAACTGATGGGTATTAAATAAATATTATATTTTAGTTACCCTTTATTTTTAATGATAGCAGCAAGATGAGTAGTCTTCATACCGGGAGCCGCACACATGTCTAAAATTTCACTGTCAGGCTTTGGATCCAGTAAAAATGCCGAAAGACAACTGGCCTGCAATCAGAAAATAAAATAAAAGTTGCTACAAAACTGCGTAAAAAGTGGGAAAAATTCTAAAATAAAAAATTTACCTTATCTTGTAATAAGAATTTCCCATTTAAATAACCAAGATGATTATAAAACTTGGTACCAGGTGAAAAGACAAAAACTTCTGGTATGTGAAAGTCTTGAATGAAATCATCATAGTTCAAATTCTTTACCCTTTCAAGATGAGAGGAATAGTTATCACAACGAGGTATAAGGCTCCATCCATCATCACGAAAAGCATCCAGCGCTTCATGAACGCTTGTTAGTAGAGTATTAATACGTACATATCTTGGTAATTTTACTAGTTAGTTTTTAACAAAAACAAAACATAAATTTCCTTTATTAATTACACTTCTTTGAATTCTTTACACTTTTGTTTTAATAAAACAGTATAAAATAAAACTATGTTAAGGATAAAAAAAAAAACATGAGCTTGAAAGATAAATCTTAAAGTTTAGTCAGTTTTCTTGTTTGATTCATCAGCAGAACTGGTGCTATCATCATTTTTAGAAAGCTCACTCGGCTGTTCAGGCTCATGCAGTGCGCGATACGAGTAAACTCCCAAGATTAAGTAAACAACAAGCACTGATGTTATTGCGGACATAGCGTTCGTTGCAAATACATCAGCTTGAAATTCCGTCATTACACGATGAACACCAAAAAATGCTACAAATGGCAATGTAAACATGGCTACACTGTACAGAAAAAATACACTCAACACTCCGGCAGTGTTCGACATTGTAACTGATGGTTCTTTCTGTTTATTATCAACAAATTTCTTGGTTTCCTTTGGCACAAAGCAGGATAACAAATTTTTTATTTTTGAGTGCCTTCTCGATTGTATTCGATTGTTACGAATAATTAAGACCATTGGATTGAACAAGGGTAAAATTTCTGCAAATTAAAAACAGATGGAAAAATAAATATAGATGAATTACCTGTTTTCTTGTCGCAGGGATCTAAGGTGGCATCGAGATTTTGCGTCAGAGCCTGCTGCAACTTTTCTTTGCAACCGAGAACAGTCAATACAGGCTTGGCCTCTGACTTTAAGACTTTCTTGCCCCATAGCAGCTCTGTTATCAAAACTCTGGTCAACCAAGGATCTAAGCGTGGATTTTCAACGAGTATGTTAGTTTTGTCTAGCAAAATTTGCAGCTCTTTACTGTGGTGCAAAGTCTCCGACACCAGTGCATAGATCCCTTGGACATTCTGTGTTTTCCATATCGTAGTAACTTCAATTAGATACACAAACACATACATTATGCAAAAATGAGTCAAACTATGAAATGAACTTACAGGATGATTGGGCTTGAAGACAAGGGATTTAAAACTTGCACCCTCTGCTAGAACCTTTTGAACAGTCTTGGCAGATTCTTTGTATAGCCTTGGCACTCTTATAGAATGTACAAACGTTGTAGACATATTATGATTCAGCAATCCTGAAAAAATTCATATTTGTGTTACTGGGTCAATGTATCTCCTTACACTACATGATAAAAATCGACTGCCATTCAGAAAGTACATGTAAATCTGTTGAAACATCAAGTGAACAATATTTTTAAAAACTAGACAAGATTTACAGAGTATCAAAATTTGTTAGAAGCACACACCAATATTTTTAATGCTACTTCCCAAAAATCAATATTGAAAATTTTTATAAAATATTTTAATGGAATAAAATGGTTATGATAATAAAATAACGGAAATAAGTTTACAAAAAAATGCACGTGATAAACTGGTGACGTTAAATATAAATTCTGATATAGGTTAAGAATCACAGCCAGTCAGCAGTGTGGATAATCATGATTAAAAACATCATCCTATAAATAAACAATTTGTAAAGTATTTTTACCGTATTGTAGTATTTCGGGGAAGTAAAGTTTGTAATATTTAACCAATTGTTAGTAAATATTAAGTATATACATATCACAATAAAAACATCTCATTGAGATTTCAAGCAGACAACTCAATGAAATATCAGGCTGCGTTCCGCACCATAAACATACTACAATGAATAGACTGCTTAGTTCATTTAGGCCGTGCTGTTGAAGCTCAGGTGGAGAGAAAATAAGAAGCGTGGGTGGGGTATCTCTCTTGCACATTCAAGAAGCACATAAGCAAGTGATTACGGAAGCCTACGTTACCATCAGGTCAGTAAGTCAACTACCTTAATTGAATTAACTGGCGCTCTGTTCCGTAATCTGGCCAGCGCCAGTTTAATTCAAGGTAGAGTTGACTTGTAAGATGTACGTGAAGTTATGTGTAGTAATTAAAGTAATTACTACTAAGTAATGCCATATGGTCGATTTTATTAAACCATATGAATATCTATATTTTTGGAGGTAGACTTTTGGATAGAAAATAGATTGTAAACTTGCCGCAAACAGCACAAACCACGTCAACTTTTTATTATCTATTTATAGAATTAGTTGCGGCTGGTTTATAATTGATTAAATGGCTCTAATATAAGAAGTAATAATTATTTTGATCAGCGCCATCTAGCGTTGCGAATTTCTGAACTAAAAAGTGGCCCTAAACTTTTGAACCAGAGCTTTAGCGCTTGGAGCCATTTAGTCAGTTATAAACCAGCCGCAACTCATGATGAAGCTATAAAATGAAAAAACAACGATACATGTGTTTTTGGCGGCAAGTTAACAATCTATTTTTTACCAAAAAATCGACCTCCTATGTGTTTATACTTTTAAAGATGAATTTTTAAGCATAAGATAGATTGTTAACTTGCCGCCAAAAACACATGTATTATTATTTTTTTACTTTATAGCTTCGTCATGAGTTGCGGCTGGTTTATAATTGAGTAAATTGCTCTAATCCTGAATGCTCTGATTGAGAATTTTAGGAGCCACTTTTGGCCAAAAAATAAAGACCGCTAGATGGCGCTGATCCAAAATAATTATTGTTACTTACAGTAAAGTCACTTTATTAATTATAAACCAGCCGCAACAAATCTCATAGACAGATAATAAAAAGTTAACATTTTGTATGCTACTTGCGGCAAGTTTACAATTTATCTTTTACCTTAAAATCGACCTCCAAAACCATCAATATTCTACTTATCTTATATGGCTCATAAAATCGACAATATTTACAAAATTACAATACTCTTGACCTTTTACCATTAACTAATGAAAGAACAGCCCTTCAACTTTAGATTTCCAATAAACAGTTAACTTATATAATATGTACATAGCAAAATTTGTGTTACAGAAATCGTAAATCAGGATCAAATATACACGTAAATTAATCAGTCGAAAAGAGACAACTGAAGAAAAAAGGTCTTAAAAAGAAGCCGTCACACGAAGAGTCTCCTAGGAATGGAGCATTGGATCTCACTAATTGAAAAATACATTTATTACAGAGATGTAAATTTTCAGTGTTATAAGTAAACAAAGAACCCAACCTCCTCTGATCAAGTGAGATCCAATGCTCCATATTCTTATGAGACTTTTCGTGTGACTGTGCTTCTTTTTCAGGCCCTTTTTCTTCGGTGGTCTCTTTTGGACTGATTAATTTGTGCTTTCATTAGTTAATGGTAAAAGGTCTATAGTATTGTAATTTTGTAAATATTGTCGATTTTATGAGCCATATAAGATAAGTAGAATATTGATGGTTTTGGAGGTCAATTTTAAGGTAAAAGATAAATTGTAAACTTGCCGCAAGTAGCACAAAAAATGTTAACTTTTTATTATCTATCTATAAGATTCGTTGCGGCTGGTTTATAATTAATAAAGTGACTTTACTGTAAGTAGCAATAATTATTAGGATTAGCGCCATCTAGCGGTCTTTATTTTTTGGCCAAAAGTGGCTCCTAAAATTCTCAATCAGAGCATTCTGGATTAGAGCCATTTAGTCAATTATAAACCAGCCGCAACACATGACGAAGCTATAAAATGAAAAAGTAATAATACATGTGTTTTTGGCGGCAAGTTAACAATCTATCTTATGCTTGAAAATTCATCTTTAAAAGTATAAACACATACGAGGTCGATTTTTGGTAGAAATTAGATTGTTAACTTGCCGCCAAAAACACATGTATCGTTGTTTTTTCATTTTATAGCTTCATCATGAGTTGCGGCTGGTTTATAACTAACTAAATGGCTCCAAGCGCTAAAGCTCTGGTTCAAAAGTTTAGGGCCACTTTTTAGTTCAGAAATTCGCAACGCTAGATGGCGCTGATCAAAATAATTATTACTTCTTATATTAGAGCCATTTAATCAATTATAAACCAGCCGCAACTAATTCTATAAATAGATAATAAAAAGTTGACGTGGTTTGTGCTGTTTGCGGCAAGTTTACAATCTATTTTCTATCCAAAAGTCTACCTCCAAAAATATAGATATTCATATGGTTTAATAAAATCGACCATATGGCATTACTTAGTAGTAATTACTTTAATTACTACACATAACTTCACGTACATCTTACAAGTCAACTCTACCTTGAATTAAACTGGCGCTGGCCAGATTACGGAACAGAGCGCCAGTTAATTCAATTAAGGTAGTTGACTTACTGACCTGATGGTAACGTAGAGCGCAACCCACTATCACTTGCTGGTGACGATTGCGGAAAACACCCATTGTGTGACAGAGATACCCACGTTGGAATTTCTTTTTTTTTTTTTTTTCTTTACATATATAGTAATTAGGGTACCTACTAGCAACTTGATCGGTCTAGCCATCTACTAGGAATTGATTTATTACGTTTACGTGGGTCAAACAAGTAAGAAATGGTCAGGACCTAAGGCACATGACATGCACTGTTTATCGTCTCGAGGACACACAGACCGGGTAGAAAATGATTTGTGATTGACAGTAGCCTTATCACAAAAATAAAAAAAAATGAAGGGGTACAACAAAAAACTAAAAACTCTACGAACTGTTAAAAAAAAAATTTTTTTGGATGGTCAACAGGGCAAATAATTATTGCAAGGCAACCCACCGCATTGTTTCGGACTTGACCGTCACTTTAAGTAATTAAAACGTTCTGAATAACGAAAAATAAAATATTTCAACATTTTATTACAATCCTGCATGATGTTAGAGATCCAACGGATTGAAGTATTTGTTGGCCCTGAAAAGGGCCGATTTTTTTACATGCTTAAGCATGTTTATTTAGAGCTGGTGTATTTCGTCACGGCTTTAGTGCCTTCGGAGACGGCGTGTTTGGCAAGTTCACCAGGAAGTAGGAGCCGAACAGCCGTTTGGATCTCCCGAGAGGTAATGGTCGATCTCTTGTTGTAGTGGACCAGGCGAGAAGCTTCGGCAGCTATGCGCTCGAAGATGTCGTTCACGAAGCTGTTCATTATCGACATGGCCTTGGAGGAGACTCCAGTGTCCGGGTGCACCTGCTTCAGGACCTTATAAATGTACATGCCGTAGCTCTCCTTCCTCTTCTTGGAGCGCTTGTTCTTGTCTACCTTGACGATGTTTTTCACAGCCTTGTCGCTTTTTATCTCAACTTTGAGAGCTTTGGGTGCCATGACTAGTCAATTACCTGATGATAGCGACCGTACGATGTGACTATCAACCGGGGACTGAATACGATGGGAATTTTTTTTCATCCCAAGATTTCATTCTCAGCAGCTACTCCGAACCAATCAGAGCGTAGCGCAGTCGGATTACCCCCCACCTAACTGACTCATTTTTTGGTTCTGCGCATGATCGTCACTTTTTCTTCCCCCTCTACTCCACCACACGAAATAGCTTCACTCTGATTGGTTCGGAGTAGCTACAGATACATCAAATCGCTAAAAATTCATCCAAACAAAAAAGTTACCCCATTAATTTAGTTATCGATTGACTTTCATTACGTGAAGTTATATCTAAATAGCTTGCATCGAAGATGTCTGGACGTGGTAAAGGAAAGGCTAGGGCAACGCCAAAGTCACGCTCTTCTCGAGCTGGACTCCAGTTCCCGGTTGGTCGCATCCAGCGACATTTGAGGAAAGGCAACTATGCCGAGCGAGTAGGTGCTGGTGCCCCGGTATACTTGGCCGCCGTTCTCGAGTACTTGTCCGCCGAAGTCCTGGAGTTGGCAGGCAATGCAGCTCGTGACAACAAAAAGACTAGGATCATCCCTCGTCATCTCCAGCTGGCCATCCGCAATGACGAGGAACTAAACAAGCTGCTCGCCAACGTCACGGTTACTCAAGGAGGTGTTCTGCCCAACATCCAAGCTGTCCTGTTGCCTAAAAAAACCGGAAAGAAAGATTCCACGGAGTAAACTTGAAAATTAACAATCGGCCCTTTTCAGGGCCAACAAAATTTTTCCAACGTAGCACTTCCTGTCCAAATTTTAAGTATACAATTGTATATTGATCCACGCCTTACACACGTATAGTTAAAGAATGCGGGGTATTTTAAGTGTTTAATTGACGTAATAGAATGAAGTATAAATTTGCTCTCCAATCGTACTGAACCAATGACAAATTTGAGGTGGAGGTGTAGTTTACTCGTAACTCCGTGTAATCATATAGTTGAAAAAAAAAAAAAAAAAAAAAACGTAAGGAACATAAGGACCCGTTAGCTGTATTGCAAAATAATTGTTAAGTAACAAAACATTTTACATAAGTACATTCAATTTACAATTCTGGCAGCGGTCAAAATATATTATGTGCACCAGCGCCACCTGGCGGAGAATTTTTTGAAAACGAAAACTGCAAGGGAAAATTACCGTACGCTGCACCGGGGCGGGAATTTTTACTTACCAAGCACCTCCTAGGAGACATAAAATTAGATACACACCACTTGTGGAAGTAAAGAATATACACGTTAATTACTTACTAAGTACATACACCCTAGGTGTGTAAATATAGCTATTCCCTCGATTGGGCCTACTCTAAAAATCCGCCGCAGACTGCTTGTTTTGGATTTGTTCGAAGTGGGAGCTGGGTCCTTGAACCTCAGCAACACAGTTCCTTTGCTTATTTTGGACTGTTTGGTACATGGAGCTGGAGCTGTGGAACCTCTCCACTCCACATATCCACGATCCATGATCTCCACCACTCAGTTTACTATACTTACCTATACGGATATATTAAATGTAAAGCTGTAGGAAGCTCCGAGAGCCACAATTAAGCTTCTCCGAGTTAATCCGCAAACAGTCTAACCTTGGCTTGTCTTATACTTGGTCGGTAGTTTGCGAAGTTGCGACGAAATAAAAGCACGCCCGGCGATAATTACCAATTATCTAATGTAATAATCATTATCACACCTTTGACGATGAATTCGATAATGAAAATACGTTGAAGTAGTACTAATGTATGTGATCTTTTTTTATTGTAGTGTTCTGTGTGTTGAAACTCCGGAGCATCTCGACGACAGGTGATGGTCAAGTTAATTGTATTGAACATTTTGTGATCTCTAACTTCAAAAAGTTGGCCTTCTTCATGGAATGCAGCTCATAACAGTAAGAGAAAAATTTGTGCATTGTTTTTTTGTTAATTTTACAAGATAAATTTTGGCTAAACATTCGGTTTGTTACATAGGTTACATGTACTTATAAGATGTGAGGCATTGTCCCGATTTGGTTTTAAACACAACAGATTTTAACAACTTTAATTAAGAAAATTAGTCTATCTCTTTACCAAAGACTTTTGTTTACATTAAGAATCAAGCATGAATTCAATTGGTCAAGGTACCATTCTACCTTTAAGCAACTTGACTCCAACTCCATTAATAGTTAATAAACCTAAGATTCCACCTGTTCTAAATGGAACAGAACAGGATCTAGACCCAAAAAGACGTAAGTAATTGAAATTTCTTACTGTTAATATTTATTACTGTACAATACTTGTTTTAATTTTTCACTTTGCAGGGAATTATCATGACACTTATTTAAAAATTGATTGGAATAAACCACTTCCTTCTGAGTATGCAAAAATAGCCAAGGCTTTGAAAACTGTAACTTATCAAAAAAATGTCTCGCTATCCTCACTTATTGATCCAGATAAAAACATGGTATTTTTTATCATTCATTTTTAAACCACCCTCCGTCCGTCACATTTTCATTTGTTGCCCATTTACAATCTGTATGTTTTAGGCATGCCAACTTATGTATAACCTGTGTCTACGTACTAAAGTACATCACCAAGAGATAAAGTTTTTACTCAAAAAGTTCAATATCTTGAGAGATAACAAAAAATTTATAGATGAATTTACAGCCAGAGTTCTAATTGGCGAAATGCTGTGGGGTACTCAGGTTTTAAAATCAAACAGTAAAGAAGTACAGATTATGAGATATTACGAAGAATCTTTTAGGGATTCTTTTATAGAAGTTCGAGACATTCATAAAAATCCAAATGATATTGACAAATGTACATTCACCGTTATTTTGTTCCTATTAACTTACAATAATCAATGATAGCAGTCAATAAAAAACAATTTTTTTTTCTAGTTAAGCTGCCAATATACGTCAGAATCAATACATTGACGATATCAATAGATGGCTGTTTAAGTGCTTTTGAAAAAGAGGGTTGGAAACTGCTACCTCGCGCCAAATCTTATCCAGAATATCTAAGAATGTTATCCATGATAGGTAAACGTCAATTTATAAGAGATTACCATATATCTGAGCTTTTGGCATTTCCACATGGTACGGAATTTTACCAACATCCCGGTTATTTAAGAGGGAAATTTTCATATCAAGACAAGGTACTAATGGCAAAATCATCAGTAGTAGTAGATTGATTTCCAAAAAAATTTTTGTATTTATTTGTACATGATTTTTTTCAATGTACAGGGAAGCTGCCTTTCTAGTTTTTTGCTGAATCCTAAGCCTAATTCAGCCGTTTTTGACGTGTGTGCTGCACCTGGGCTGAAAACCAATCACCTTGCTAATATCATGGGAAACACAGGGTAAAGATCTAAAATAAAATCCCAATTTCCGAACTTCCCAAAGCATACAAAATTTGTTTTAATTTTTCTTTTTTTTTCTTTTTTATTATAGAGTAATATATGCAGTTGATAATCACCCTGATAGATTTGAAGATATGAAAACATTGCTAAATTTGACAGATGTAAAGAATGTTGAACTTTTAAATACCGATTACAATGCTGCTGATATCCCAAGAGAAGAAGTCAGATATATTCTAGTTGACCCCACTAGTACATACAGTGGGGTATTTTATAGCGTTGGCATGCTGAAAATTGATCAAAAATATCGCCTTCACCGATTGTCCATGTCACAAAGTGAAATACTTAGGTACTGTTTATTGAAATTCCCAAATGTGAAGCGCGTTATCTACACAGTATGCTCTCTGTACCCGGAAGAAGGCGAAGCTATTATAGAAAATACACTGCAGGCTATAGGTGATTCTTTCTCTCTTCTTAATGTCAAGGAGATGCTATGGAACGAGTGGGAGAGTATGAGTCCATCAGATTTTCCATATGCCGAGAGATGTTTGCGCATCATTCCAGAAGTGGACCTCTGTCAAGGCTACTTTATCGCCGTGTTTGAAAGAAACTTTGACGTGCCATTACCAGAATACAAGAGCATTATTTTCGACGCTGCTGCAACTTCAGTAGTTAACATGGCTGAGAACAAAAAGAAAATCGAACCCATACCGGAACCAAGGGTTGACGATCACACGCAAAGACAATTGATGATACTGCAAAATAGGATGCAAAAAGCGCAGGAGCAAAAGTTGGCAGCCCTGGCTAGCAAGAAACAATTTGTGCCAGACCTTTTGAGATGGCAAAATCCGGCTCAAAATCAACCCAAACCGGATTTGAAACGTTCAACTGCGCAGTCAAATCGTAAGCAAGGCCTGCTCCCAAATCCTGGCTTGCTTCCAAGCCCAGGTTTGCTACCGAATCCTACTTTGTCCATGACCTCTGGTACGAGTTTGCTTCCAAATCCGGATACATTACAAAATCTGAACCAATTGATGACCTATCAAACTCAAGATTTAATGGTTGGACGGAATCTAGATGTGCTTCAACAGATAGATGGATACCGAAACGCGTATTCACTTCCAAACGAGCAACAAAATTCGATTTCGCAGTTTCGGTTCGACGATTGTCAGAACACGTATCCCGAGCGTCAAAATGTATTTTCTCAGCTACAATCGAGCGAGCCCCTGTTTAACTTGTCAACCCAGTTGAACCACAACCAAGTAGAGCCTCCGAGCTTGTTCTCTCAACCGAACCAAAATGCATTCTCTCGAGACCGGGCAAATATATACTCCGACGGACTGTTGAACGATCGCTCGGGTGTGTTTTCTCAAAACCAGGATATGTTTCCGCGATCGACGGAACCTCCGAGCCTATTCTCGTTCCAACCGTCGGATGAGTTCACCCAAAGCCTGTTCTCTCAGCCGCAATCAAGCCAATTTCAACAGCAATCACAGCCGAACCGAAATTCCAAGTCGCGCTCAAAAGCCAACTCGGAACGTATTATCGTGAAAACACACAACCAGCTGTGGCCGTGAATACATTATAGCTTTAAAACAAAATAGTTATAAATTTTTTCAAACTAATTTTTTATTGCAGTATAATTAATAATTTTTCAATCGGCTACGACTTAAATGCCTGAAATTGATTTTTCTAGTGTCATCACACTGCATATTCTAGTAGTCTCAGACACTTGCAACATTTTGTAAAAAGAAAGGATTTTATAAAAACCATGAAAAAAAAGGTCAATAAAAAGAAGAAAAAAAAAAAAAAAAAAAGGAAAGTGTATGTGAGTGCAGGCGTCGATTACTTTCCCGTAATAATTTCGTTTCACAAAATTTGTAATAACTATTGAGTCATGAGTCGATGAAACAACAAAGAGTAGGTTTGATTGATTTACGTTTAAGAAGTTTTATCATTAAATACGAGAACAAAGTGATTCCACTTCACAGCAATTATACGTCCTGAGGTGTTAATTTTTTTTTTTTTTAGATTTCCAGTATCTACCTGTACATTATCCAGGTGCTCTCTTACATTAAAAGAATGTCCATTTTGATGAAGATTGCTTTTGTTCTTTCATTTTTTTATTTCAAAATGTACAGCGCCGGGACATCCAGTACACCACTCCTTTAAATAGACTTCACTCACACACTGATAATGTATTCAACAATAAGTGTCGTGTGCATGATTATCTCGGTCTTGCAGCGATTCGTTTGCCATCTTCTTTTTCTTCCTCTACTTACAAAAATGCGCTCATTTATAGAATCTAATTGTGCATAACTGGTTTCAAATCTTTTGAGTAGCCGTCAGTGTTCCATCACGTTTATCCGCATGCAGTTGTTACATAAAGCTCGAACTGTTTTCATCGGCTAAACTAGCAAGTAACGCGCAGCAGCGGGGTATATATGAGAAATCGCTTTAGTAGTAACGGAAAAATAAGATGCTGCTGAGCTGGTCGTCCTATCCTCCGGTGTTTCACCTCGCATCGGCGGGTCTCTTCGCGATCGTGGTGTTTTACGCCTACGCGAGGTACAAGCTGTCCTATTGGAGTCGCCGTGGGGTGAAGTCACCCCCAACGCACTGGTTGTTCGGCAACTTCGGGAACACCTTCACCCTGAAGAAGCCACCGGGCCAGGAGCTCCAGGATATCTACGAGAGCGCCGAGGACAATGACAGCCCCTTCGTCGGGTTTTACATCTTCCACTCGCCGAAGCTCCTGCTGCGCGACCTCAAGCTCATGAAGCAGCTCATGGTCAAGGAGTTCGAGACGTTTCCGAACCGGTGTTTCGGCGGGGCCCAACAAATGGACTCCGTGGGACTGGTGAATTTGCTGGGGATCCACCAGCCCAGGTGGAGGTACCTGCGCCAAAAGCTCGCGCCCAGCGTCACGGGGCTCAAGCTCCGGGCGATGACGCCGCTAATCGTCAAGTGCAGCGAGCCGATGCTCAGATTTTTCGACGAAGCCAAGGGAGACAAGGACAGTGCTTGGCGCTCCTTTGAGTTCAAGGACGTTGCCAGCAGGTACACGACGGACGTGATCGCCTCCTTGGCCTTTGGCATCGACACCGACTCGTTCGACCGCAGCAAAATCGCGTTTTTCGAAGCTGGTACATACACACCTATACTATGATTTTATTAAATACATTTACCTACCGATAGGCGCAAAATAGCCCCGGAGTCGATGGCACTTATGGACCAAGGGACTCGTGCTTGCCCTGGTGCCAACTGTATTTTTCCACATAAACGCCATCGCCCTGCGGCTATCGTCCGTTTTTTCGGACGCAAAGTAGCCCAGGAGTCGATGGCACTTATCCAACGAAAATTACCATTTCTTACCATTGGCACAAAGTGCAACTACTGCTTTGAAAGGAACACTTTGCGCTCTCGGTAAGATAAACATTAGACGCGGCACAATATGTAATATAATATACATTCGTATGCGTCGTATCATCGAGCATCCGAGCATTATTATCTTCAATTCATTGTCTTGGCCGTGACATTTCGAGTAATCGTATGACCAACTATAGTAACAATTAAAATGCAAAGCTCTCGGTTCGTACACGTCACGAGGAAAACTTGGAGATTTTCTCATATCTCATAAGTACTTCGATGTGATGTGCATTAAGTAAACGATCGGAGGAAAAAAAAAAAACATAACTCTAGTATCTGCATAAAAACTACCGATCTCCATTCGCGTATACGTTTGATCCGTAGGTCAGAAAATTCTATCTGGCTTGAAGAGAGGAATCATCGTGATCATATTGTTTTATGTGCCCGGTTTGATTAAATTCGTCGAAAACTTCATGGTTGGGCCTGCGGAGTATTTCAGGATCGTTTTCGGGGACTCGATTAGGAGGCGAGAGCAGAACAACGCCAAGCGCAACGATCTGGTCGACCACTTCATTGGCTTGAAAAACGGGGAGCAGAGACCGGATTACAGTAACTCTTTTTTTTCTATTAAACATGATACACAATATACGATGCGCCAAATGGAACGAACGAATGAAAGTACGTGCTTTGTTTTGTTCAAGTATTCGAAGGCGACAATTTACTGTCCCAAGCCGTGGCGTTCTACGTAGCGGGATTCGAGGCCACGTCGACGGCCATCGCTTTTACTCTGCACGAGCTCGCCCGACACCCGGAATACGAGAACCGCCTGTACGAGGAGATCCAGGTACACACGGCCGGCAAAGAATTAACCGCCGATTTGATCAACGAGATGGAGTTTTTGGATCTGGTGGTCAACGAGACCCTCAGGATGTACCCGCCCCTGCCGATGGTTGACCGAGTGCCCGTCCGAGATTACAAGGTATACGTGTAGCGTCACCGTACATATTTTAGTGTTGACTATAATGATGTGTGTCGATGGGGCAGATACCAGGAACTAACGTCACGATCGAGAAGGGAACTCCGATTTACATATCGATAAACGGGACGAACCGCGACCCCAAGCACTACGAGAATCCAAACGAGTTTATTCCCACGCGGCCTCGCATCGAGTCGGACGACCTGCCGAGCTCGTCCTTGTCCTTCGGCATGGGGCCGCGGTCTTGCATCGGTGAGTCTAAGAGAGCGCAAACACACATGCAGCTCTTGAAATGGTTTTTTTTTTTTTTTTTTTTCTACATCTTACAGGTCAAAGGCTGGGTTTGCTCATGACAAAAATCGCCATTGTCACCATACTGAAGGAGTACGAGCTGAGCAACGAGACCAAGGGGGAAACTACGCTTAGACCCGTCACTGTGTTCACTGCAGCCGCGGACGGTGTGCACATCAAGCTGAGAAAGAGGAAGGTGTGACAATAATCACGCTGATGACGATCCCACCTATGCGTATACAATCGTATAGCTTATTCTTTTATTATTATCACATGTGTATTTTGATGGTAATAAAACCTTTGGTTTTTGTTCATACTTACAATGTACCTGATTTGTGAAATCACCAAATATATTATTACTATTGGTTTTCGTACGCATGAAAAAGTATCACGGTATACTTTTTTTTTTTTTTTTTTTTTTTTTTTTTTTTTTTTTTTTTTTTTTTTTTATAAACGTCATATTGCAATTACATTCAAACCAAATTTTTGCGCTGAATCGATGCGTGTGCCCCGATCGTTCGATCGAGATGCACACAATTTCATTGTTTATAATGGTAATGTTAACAATTGTCATCCTCACCTGACAAAAAAATTAATAATTTTTGCAATTGCATAAGTACACTCTGCAATAAAAGATAAGCAGCCAAGCGTAAAAAAAAGAAAAAAATTTTTTTCTATTTATCTTACGAAGCCATTGCAGACAGTGTGGAATTATTAAAGCCACGATTTGAAAATGAATTACCCAATGAGCAGTGCGAAAAATAAATACGGCAACTCGCGAAATATATGCGTGTAATACTCATACCCCGTATTACGTAAAAATTAGCCAGCAAAATGTTTTGTATTTTTATAAATGCTCGCAAAACGGATATATACACAGGGATATCTAAGTAGCTTTATCTCATCGAACGCATCATCAACGGGATATTAATTTGAGTTCCTTAAACAATTTGTTAGCGACCATGCTCTATTTGAAACCGATAAAAATCCTAAGGTGTATTTCATTGCTGCAAACTTATTTAGTATGCTCTCAACGAAAATGGTATTTATTTTGGGATTCACGCTTTTGAATTTTTAAATATAGTTATACTTAATTAAAAATAAGTTCAAGACTCAATTTTAAAACAGAACATATTTATTTACCCAATAAATTTTTTACACCAATCAAAACATTGATTGAATATGAATTATTTTAATTTTCAGTGATGTTATAAGTGTAATAAAAAAAAGTTTTAAAAAATTCACTTAAGCTGTACAAGAACTAAAGCTATAGAACATAAAAAACATTACATTTAATTGAATATCAGGACGTTGTATAAATCACAGAATTTAATAATTGCGAGCTGCTGATGAAACCATGAAAGCTGAATATCCAGTTGTCACTCAAACCAGCGTGATTCATTTACACATTTATAGTATTATTACTATCGATTCTAGCTTAGCTTTTTTTCTATTACTTTATTTCCTCATTCCGCTTATTAAACGACGTATATAATATTTTAATAGATATAACATAATTTTACAAAAATAACAAGCGCCAGTCAGAGACAGTCAATATATAGATCTCAGGTGTGATTGTGTTATCGTAAACGGATTAATATATTTGTATAAAATCTCTAAAAGTGATATTGTAAGGACGAGATAAAAATTTGTCTCTTACGTTTTAAAAAATTGCGTCCAAATTCACGCATTTTTTTTCATCAATATAGCAATAACAAAGAAGCTTAAAAATTCGTACTCGCGATTACATTAAAATCTTAAAAAATCCTCTGGTGTATATTTTCAAAAATTCGTTTTGTACACATGAATCGCGATGCGTCTCTTATTAAAAACAAAAACACATCTCACAACTGGAAATACTTGAGAAAAAAAAAAAAAAAAAAAAAAAAAAAAAATTGTAACGTGATTTAACAATACTCATTCGTGTAAGACTATTTACCAACAATAAAGTGCTACGTGTATCTCGTCGTCGTTTATCTTCATTCTCTTTAACGCGATTAATGGGAAAATTGGCTAAAATGTTTAATACGCTTGTAGAATACTTTAGTTTCCTCCCAATGTTCCTCGCCTTTGGCAGGTGGGGCGTCTTCCTTATTTTCTATTTTATTGACTTTCTAGTTGTGCATCTTTGACATCGTGATCAGTGGGCTGAGGCAGTTCCGCCTTGGTTGCTAATTGCAATGCGTTGAGCCACCTGAAACAAAGAGCACAAAACAGGACCGTTAATGCGTCACGTCTATGCGTTCTACATTTGATTGAGCGATCGTGGCTCACCTGTCCTTCTCCGACTGCGAAGCTGTCTGCAGGTAATAACACTTGCGCGTATGATGAATTTTGAACGCCCGGACACGGTCCTTGGAATTCAACGGATCCTCATCGGGTAGCTCAGTGGCGTCCGTTACTGCAAAACCGGGCATCGGCGTCGCGGTCATAGCCGTGCTTTCACTGTCTGATTTAAAGCTGTAGAGGACAAAGTCCACGTGGAGAGCAAAGTAGCGTGGCGTCCACGGCTTACTGGCCTGGGTCTTGAGGTGCAGGTAGCCCGAAAGGACAGAGGACGCGGCCGCCGAGACTTGAAGGAGCGACGACACCGGGCCGTTCGGGGAAGATGGCGAGGTTTTGCTCAGCGGTTGTGTCAGTGCGGCGTGGCATAGCCGGCACACCCGCATGTTCTTATTATCCTCGAACAGAAGCTTTTGGTTCGAGCATTTGCTGCACACGATCTGAAACATACATCATTAAGTATTAAACGAGTCTAATCATCGCTCGATAGCTGAATGCCCATGCGTTTAGACGCACGAATACAAAAGGCCGACTCATGTATGTATACTTCCTCAATAAATCAAAGGTTCGACAAAGACGGCACGCATCGCCAACAATGCCTCCAATGAATGGCGGGCATTATTGAATCCCCCACATTAAACTACGTCAAATAGCGAATAATCAACGATCAATATAAACCAATCAAACGTACGATTCCACAAGCGCGACAATTGTGCTTGCGCTTCATAACGGAGAAGATAGCCTCGCACACCATGCAGCGCGTGACATCGTCGGCCTTGACCAGACCGGCCGTCTTTGGATTGTCTCCGGTCTTCAAGCTCGCCTTGCGCCGCATGATCTCTTGCATGGTCTCGAACAGCGCGTCCAGCCATGCAGCCTTGTCCGTCGCCGAGTGGGTGTACAGCTCGACGCTCTTGTTCTCGTCACGAAGGTAAAACGTGTTGGCGGTCTCGAGATTGTCGCCTTCGATCACCTGGAGGTTTTCGATCATGAATTTGGCGCGCAGTCGATACATTGGGCCTGGTATCAGTCGTAGCGAGCACAGCAGTAGGATATCGCTGAACTACGAAAGAAGAAAAAATTTTTTCATGAAAAATTGTTGTTCATTTACAAACGAGATTTCGGAATGCTTACTAGGAACATGTATCTTTCTTGGTGATCACCACTTCTTGCTGAAATTTTGACGATTCTTCCTTCTTTGACGAGCTCGCGCGTCGCACTGACTAGGTCGGTTGAATCGTAAATACTTTCTTGGATCTCCAGGAGTTTCTTGAACTTGTCGATCTTCTTCATGGCTTCGTTGGTGTGGTTTGCCGCTGTTGACACTAACTCTAGTGCTTCTGCAAGACATAACAAGTTTCATTTATTAACACTGCCATATTGTTTCTTTAAAGAAAAAAAGTACCTGAACAAAAATACTTACTTTTGGTATCTTCGTAGTCAGGATTATCTTTAACAAGATTTCTCAAATAATCTTTCAATAATAACTCGTATCTCGGCAATCTCTGAATGGGGCTGAGCATGTGGTGCTGTAGGGACAATTTTGCGCACTCTTCCGTTTTCTGAATTTCGTTTATAATTGCGGCGAACCTTAAAACTTTTTGCTGCAGTGTGCTTATTAAATTTATGGCATAGTCAAAATTCTTCACGTACTCGGTGTACATTTTCAAAAACGGAGCGAAATTCTTCATGATATCGCCGATTCGGGGATCTGCGTCCCACGCATCTATCCTTACCTCTAGCTGAGGTAACAAGAAGTCGTTGTGAAATATGTAAATCGATTTAATATTGGAAAACATGTGCTGAACAGTCTCTGGTGGGAACATCGTATGTGCCCGATTTTCTTGGTCAACTCGGAATTGAAATATTTGATCTATGAGGTACAAGGTGCTAACATACTTTTTTTCTGTGGATAACAATTCATAGGCAATCAGTCTTGCTTTTTTTCTCTTTTCTTCAATTAAATTCCTCTTAGCATTTAGTTTTTTTTCCACTAGAATATCATCTGCATGGTCCGCAACAATAGCCGAGTCTGTTTCAGAAGATCTGGTCTCTTCAGACTCCTCATCACTATCTGATTCACTAACTGCATAATCATTTTGATAAGAACTTTCTGTAACTACGTAGCTGGAATTTCAAGAAAACAATAGATTCAGTATGATAAAAAAAAAAAATGTTCACCCAAACATAATTGTAATCATAATTTTACCTGCTACTTCTGTACTCCAAAACACTGTGGGACATTTTTGAAAAAGAAGATTCAGTGACAGCCTCTTCAGTTGTGCTAACTTCTGTAGCAGAAGCTGACATAATAAAAGGTCTGAATCTAGAAAAGCCTCCAAAGCTTGCAATCCTGTGGAAGGAATGTCTGGGGTATTGGCTCTGTTCATCCTGCCCACCAACAGAATCTGAGTCCTGAGAGTTCCCATCTTCGCTGGTTGTGCTCTGTTGCTCCAGTATTCTGGAATTTCTGTTACTACCTTTGTCTGAATCAACAGACGTGGTGGATGAAGCTTTCTCATCCGTGATATGTAAGTCTGTGTAAAAGGTACTGTGGCCACTCGTTTTGGAGCCAAACATTTTGGGCTTGAATGGCTCTGGATGAAGACAAACCATCCAGGATGAAAATTCTTTCAACTGGCCTCGCAGCATTCTGTTGTAATCAAAGAGATTTTACTAATTTTAATTAACAATTACAAGTGCAAAAGGTATTTACTTGGAAATGGAAAAAAAAGCTTCAAAGTTAATTTTATCAATAGACAAAGAAACTGTTAAGAAATAGATCAGATTAAACCAACACACTGAAATATAAGATACATTTTTATCTTTGATAATTAAATTCAGATTTTTTGTAACAATAGATTACTTGCATTGGTGCGCCATCGCGTTTAAATTAATGTAATTAAATAAAATTGCTCCAAATACACCGAAACATTATTATTCTACATTTATTTATGTTTCAGCAAGATTGTGAATAACAACTCAAGACAATGCTAACGGTTGGGTGAATGTGATGATTCACATTAATATCTGACACGAAATTCATTCAGTTATTATTAGATATTAAGATTGCATGTCAAGTGTAAATGGTTCATTAAATCCATGCAAGACTTATTGAATCATGACATATAGACACATACAAAAATGCAAGTGGTACACAAGCACTTTTGGATAAAAATTATATTTATTACCAATACATAAAAAGTGTGTTGTCTGATGTACAGTGGAGTACGGAAAAAAAATAATCAGTCACCTTTAGCCCAGCTTTTTTGGGCCAGGTATCCAAAGCCCAATCTGCAAGCCCCTGTGGTAACTAAACTTGCAGGTCATCCTTTCCGTTGTATATAAAACCAGTATGTTGTTAAATGTGCTCTCCTTTTCAGTTCTGATATTCGTATATCAATAATCTGCTTCTTTGCTTTGCTTCGGCACAAAAAAACAAGCACAGCCGTAGTCCCGACCAGGTAATTTCGTCAATAGTTAATCACATAACTTGCTACAGTCTTCTCTGACGAATTCATTGTCACTAAAGTATATAACACGAAGCTCATGTCAACATGTATTTTTCACCACCAAGATTAATAAGTATAAGTGATTTGCGCTTCCGTTAACAAAAAAAAAAAACAAAAAAAAAAAAGAGAAATAGGTACCCATGCAGAGAAACAAGGAGAGAAAAGAAAAGAGGACAGGAAGGGTAAGAGGAAAAAACACGTATATTGTAGGTAGTCGAATTACTTAGTACCCACACCCCGGCGCAAGTCGAACTGGAGGCACTGGAGCTGGAGCAACTGAGCAAGCTAGCTCTGCATGGGAATGGGAAAAGGTGAAGAGCGGAGGGAGAGAGAGGAGTAGCCAAAGAGGCTGTTCCTTAATTGTTCCAGGTTCCACGACCCTGTCTCACTGGACCATTGCCTCCTATTGGTACCTATTGTGGGTGTATTAAGTATACTTATTTGGTGTTTGGTGTATATACTTATTAAGTATATTACAGTCATAAGAGCTTGCCTCTTAAGTACCAATGCCAAGCAACGGGCCATAAGCTTCGTAAAAAAACTGAAAATTGGTTTTGTTTCACCGTACACAATACGAGATTTTTGTTCGCTAAAAGGGATCACTCGGGCGACTAAATGGTATATATACATATATACAATTGTGAGTATAGCAGCAATCTGGAGCTGATCAAATAATACACAAAGTCGTTCCGTGCAAAACAACGAACAAGTCTTATATATTTTCGCCAAGTATCATGTTCATCATGTATTATCTATCAGAATGTAATGTCAGTCAAAGTGTCAATCGTCAGAGAAGTTTTTCAAATATCATAAACAATTTGTAACAACTACAATACGTTAAGTTGGCGAGCTCGAGCAATAAAATAGTACAGAAACTAAACTGCTGTGAAATTGCCTCAGTTCGAGTTATCAAAGAATGACTGGAAAAAAATAGTTTATACTCGATAAAAAAATGATATCAGAAGACACGCACAACATGCCGTCATCGCCAATTTTGGATTTACGCGTTGATTCTCAAAAACAACGATATCCCTTTTGCATAGTATGGACACCAATTCCAGTAATAACGTAAGGGCTTAACCTGTTTCTATTTTTAAACATATCGATATCCTGCAATGGACTACAAGATTTTTCATTACAGATATCTTTTTCCTTTCATTGGACACATGGGAATTGCAACTTCAACTGGGATAATACGTGACTTTGCAGGACCATACGTTGTTTCTGAGGACCGAATGGCATTTGGATGGCCCACAAAATACTGGCAGTTGAATTACACAAAAGCAAAAGGAAAGGCTCAGGGATGGGATTCCGCTGTGCATGAAGCAAGTGAAATCTACAAAGAAAGAATGGTACTGATATTTTGAAACAGACTCATGTGTAGTAAAGTTTATTTACACATGAAAACATTGAGTTACATCTTATTTACACGTTTTTAGCACAATCTGTTCTGTGATAACTGTCATTCCCATGTAGCAAGAGCATTAAATATCATGTCCTATGACAACTCAAATAGTTGGAATATGGTAAAACTAGCACTTTACATGTTTATATATGGAAAATATGTGAGGTAAGTATTATAATGTAAAAATATTACATTGAGGTGATGAAAACTGAAATATATTTTTGGTTTCAGTGTTGCAGGATTTTTCAAGACCTGGATTCCATTTTCAATAGTCATTACCATTGCGTTTCTTATTTACTCATTTTCAAGTTGAATCATAAAAAAAATCAACTTTGCAATATTTTTATTGAAAAACTTTTGATGTACATAACATACACTTATGTAAATATAAATAATTACTTTATATCTCTTACAATATGGCAACAATATAGATATTTATATAAAAGAAGATGTACTCTTCACAAAGATAAACGTTCTTTTTGCAAAATATAAGCTTACACTCTACATGCTTGATCCTTACAAAAATAAAATCTTAAGCGCTGTAACTTAAAAATTAATCCTCAATGGTGCATGTAATATAAACATGTGCATATTCTTAATCTCATATTGTCATGACAAAATTACTCGTCATTTTGACTGTTTATCTCATTAATAACACTCCGTTCCACTTGAAATTCGTAGTCGTAATTTTCTGTGCCAACCTTATTGATAAAAGAAAGTATTTCCTCCAGTCTCAGTTTATCAATGACCAAATCCTGATTCAATGTGTCCTCCAAATCTTTACTGAATTTAAAGGGAATACTTGTCAAGTCGTTATTCTGGCCATCTTGTGAGTTTTGTTTGACAACTGGACCAGACATTGGTTGATAAGATAATGGATCGTTGAGATTAGGATACAAGCTTGGTGTGTTATTATCTGTATTGGGTTGATTTCGCTTTTCAACAAAAATAAATCCATCATGTGGTGCAGGTTCTTCTGGCGAGCTGGGTGGGGACTCTTTATTTTTCTTTTTGCCAAAAAACCAAGACATTTTCTACAAGAACATAAACATGCACATGGCTCAAATAATATATTTGGATGGTTGAAATATCTTTGTCAGCACTCACACATTGAGGTTAAAATGTTAAAATCGTTACACTTGATTCGGACAACTGTCACTTATAAACATACAAGATCTGACTATGCCGTCAAGATAATCCAAAACCAACAATATGTATATCTCTATAGTTATATTGAGCAAAATCTACTGACACTTGTCTAAAACAATAACACTGCAGTGCATACAGCACAAAGCGAGCACAAAGCACTCAGCACAGCTTATTATATATTTATACTTACAATACATATATTGCGACGAATGTATAATTACAGGAGAATACATATGAGTAGTTTTTGTTGCACACTATTCTGTTGGATACCTTTGATAAAATCTGAGATTTCTGATTTAAAAAAAACTTGTCTCATGCATAAAAGTTTCCACGTAAGAGGCAAGAGATAGTGTAAGTGAACAGATATTTTATTTATATCACTTTGAAATATAAAAATACATTGCTCTGACGCTGCATGATTGGCTGACGTATAGTTGTACCTATGAACTTTAATGTCAATTCAATATCGCGAATGAAGTTAGAAACTTATCTTTGTTAATTGATTTCGTACATGAATTAATGAATAGATAGTTCGAGACAGAGTCGTGTGGCGCTTGTAGTGTGGCTGAAATGTCTGCATAAAATCATTGAATCATCTTATACCTCTATGGCATAAAAGTCACTGATTTGCTCCGCCATTTTCGGGACTATCTGGGACTAGCTGAAAATAACAAGCCATAAGTATATGTATGTATGCGTAGAATGTGTTTCCCTCTCCAGTCTCCACTCTTATTGATGCGGTTGCAGTCCCTAAAATGTCGTAGCACCCATAGGCATATAAGAAAAATAGACTGCTCGTTCTTATTTACGGCGCTGAAGCACAAGTAGAAGGAGACACACAATTGAACGTGGGTTCCCACAATGGGAATCCCACTTTTGGCAATGTGCAAGAGAGATAGATACCCACGTTCAATCGTTCAATGTTGCGTCTTCCTCTACTTATGCTTCAGCGCCGTACATATAAGAACGAGCAGTCTATTTTTCTTATGTCTGCTTCTAACAGTTAACACACACAATCTTATACAAACACACCAAAGCCTCATCGCCATCTAGCGTTGATATTTTCACAGCCCAGACCAAGCTAAAATCTAGTGATTCGCTCACGGAAAAACATCAGAAAAAAGTCACTAGATTATAACTAAACTAGTAAACTTCTGTACCCGCACCACAGCGCCATCTAGCATTCACAGTCACAGTCCATTCCAAGCTGAGGCCTATAGTGACTTTTCTAGTGACTTTTTTCTAGTGTTTTTTCATGAGCGAGTCCCTAGATTTTAACTCGGCCTCGGCTGCGAAAATATCAACGCTAGATGGCGCTGATGCGTTGGTTAGGTGTGTTATTGTTGATAAGTGTTGAGTGTTTTAGTGTCCCAGTGTCCGGATCTCAATCATATAGCTATAAGTATATAGGTATTAATCTTTAGGACAATAAAAATACACTAATCCATAAATCAATTAATCAATTCGCAGAATCTACGACTTTGCAAACACTGTTATCAGTAAGCCAGTAAATATTAGAACTTATGTTTAAAAATATTCGTATGTTGCAGAACGGAGCTTTATTTGAGCTAAGCATGAAATTTTGAGGTGATAAATTTATCATAGAAATTAAGAACAAATTGATTAGCGGAGCTCGTGTGATCTCCAAGCTGTAGAAAATATTATAAATGATTAGATTGATTAGAAACAATAGAAACGAATGTCACGCATGCGCTTTTTCATTATTATTGTTTTTCTCCATAAGGGGCACATGCATATGTCACTGTAGTCTTCGCGCTCTCCGCGTCTCTGTTGACAGTGTTTATGTTGACTCCGAAAAATACTCCGAATTACTCCGATCATACCTGATTCGTGTGCGCAGAATAGTAGTAATATGGTAGTAAAAATATTTAATGAAATATAGTTTATTAGGAAAAAGACAAAGAGTGTCATAGCTATATGAGCTGTACGAGAGTATAAACTCGGAGTGTTCCTAAATGCGAGCCGCGACTGCGACTGCCGCGATTTTTTGTACATATAGGTAAACATCAGCTATTGCACTTGTACTCGAGGCCGTTTGTGATAGTAATATGAAAATGTGTGAAAATGTTTCGCGTTCCGCGCGCGAGAGCATAACCTCAAATAACAACTGTGAGCGTAAGTTTTTGGTAGGCGTGACGTGATTACCTACTTTTCATCTGGTGTGTATGGACCTGTCGAAAATAAAATTTTTCAATTTACAAGTAATTGGTGTTTATTTCTACCTGTGTATTATTGTCTTTTAAAACGTGTGAAATGTACAATAATTGTTGAAGAACAAAACACTTAGATCATGGGATCATTGGTTGAGCTTTCGCTTTCGTCTGCTCCCACTATTGAACACTTGAACAATTATCAATATTGTTTTGACTGATTTCTTCAAAATAGAGGGATATCGTTTGCATTACTACAACGTTTAAGTACCATCATGATTCCTTATGCAGTGCTCAAGTATAGTAGTGTTAATATCAAGGACGAAATGGATAGAAAAAGAGCTTGACAGGTGACTGGACGATTGTTACAAAGAAAGGTAAGTATCTGAGTACTCGATCACCTCGTTAAATTATCCATGACGCATGTATACGGTCTAACAAAACCATAACACACATTGAAATGAATTTTTTTTTTTTTTATCACAGCAGGTACTATTTACTTACAAATGTAACCAAAAGCTCATGTTATTACTTATATGTTGTCTTGCGGATTTTCATAAATATTCAACACCTGTTGTGCCAACATACAATAACAATGGATCGCTGCCACTTGTATATTTGTATATATACACACTTCTTATACGTTGTTTTCTCCTTTTCTCTCTCCCTCCGCATTGTTCTATTATTATCCACTGGCTTTGTATATATATGTGTAAATGCTCGCGGCTGTGTTTAAGGCTATGACTCCACTACAGGTATATCTGACGTCAACAGCTCTTGCTCGGAATATATATATATATAAATATTTGTTTTTATCTACTTATATAGCCCTGCATAAATTACCACAATTATCCATAAATTTTGCTTGAAAATATGGTCCCTGAAAGGTATTGAATTTTTTCGAAACCATCAATTGATCATCGTTTGTAATCCATCACACACTTTCACACAGGGACATGTAGGTGTACACAAAAAACGTTTCGGATGCCAGCGCATCCCCCTTTCATTCTTGATGCTCGACCTGGGCTGGGAGATTTTTCGGCAGTGGTGCCCAGCACGCAAGTTAAAGTGTCTGCGAACGACGAGACACAGGAGAGAAAGTAAAGAACGCGAACGAAGGTGTAGGTGTGCTTGGATACTGTACTGCTGCACGGCAGAACAAATAGATGATAAAAAAGTAAGAGTCGCGATGTACCTGTACACGTGACGCCCAGGGAGGGAGAAAAATTCTGAGAATCAACAGACTTATACTCCTTGGCTAAGTGGCCGCGGTGGAGGAGCTTTTTTGTGCAGTGCATCCTTTTTTTTTTGTTTTTAATCCTCTTTCCTCTTCTACACTGCATAATATAACGTACACTCACGCTGGCGTCCTTCCCGTTTTTTCCTTTCTCTCGGTTCATACGTCTCGCCAATCGGACTCTTTTTTGCGCCACGAACCGATTTCGTACATTTACTCACAATTTTCCATTCGTTGTTTCGAGCTCTGAATTGCTTTATCGCTCGATTGACCCGCATATTATATTACCATTGCGTGTATTTTTCGCGAATTTAAACTTTTACTTACTCGTTTCGAGAATTTCCCACACCTTTCTCGCTGCCGGCTCGCTCAGGTTCATTGGACCATTATTCTTTTATTCTTCCGACTTTACTCGGACACGCTCTTTCTCTCGAACGTGCGCATTTCCAGCTAAACGAAGTTAAAATTTTACAGCATTCATATCGACGCTTCACACAGATATTGTGTTTGTACACCAACCGATCGTACATAATGTATGGACAGCAACGCGACGAAAGTTGGATTTATAATGGCACCCCTGGATGATCGGCGACTTGAAATTCTGGCGAAAGAGTTTGCCTCTTAAAAATGCAAAAAGTACGCTTATGCACGAAAAAGGGGGACGCGTTCTTGAAATCACTTCGTGAATAATAGGCAGAGCTGCTCGACGCGCGTGATCATCGATCCGCGTGGAAAACCTGTCGGGCAATTAAATAAATTAGAAAAATGTCGCGACAGGGGTCGACGAGGAGCGGATGAAAATATACATAGCGCGAAACGATATAGGCGCATCAGACGGAGGAGGGGATTAAATAATTGATCGGATGGTGTATACCGAATTCGCTCTATTAATAGCCGCCCGCGCCGTCCCTGGATAATTAATTTAGCTCCATTGGATTTGTGTCCGAAATTAGAAATGACTTTCGTCTCCACCTCCCTCCGTTGGTGGTTCTATTTTCACGCGAATCATCGTCCATCGATCGATGTATTTTTCAATAAACATTGAAACTTACGTAACCGCGTGGAGACAATAACCTGTCGATCCTTATTTTCAAGATTACAACACGAGGACCGGGGAAAATTTCTGATATCTTTTCTCGATCGTTTTTTTTTTTGCTCACCAAATGACTTTGAGAACACAAATTTTTTTTTTTTTTCAGACGTTGATAAACGCTATTGCCAAAACAATTTCCTTCGTCCTGGATTATTCATCGACTCTACATACTTTTTTTTTTTTTTTTTTTCAGACGTTGCACGTGCTTTCGTGCATTGAAGGTCAAGTTGTGATTGTCACTTTTGTTCTAAGGAATTCACGATTCGTATTCTTATCGTATGCCACTGAAGATGTCAGCTAAAAGCACGCAAAACGAAATAACACCTTTGTACACCATTTGATTCGTTAGTGTGTGTACGCAGTATTTATACTATCCCCGAAATAGGCAAATCGGTATTTACGATTTACAAAAACACTAAGTCACTGTCACGTTGACATCGTCCATTGGACTCCATGGACCAGAGTAATTTCAATCTCTCGAATTTGCCGATTTTGCGGTCAGTAGTTGGCCCACGTTGATCGTAACTTCACTATTACTCAAACACCCACTGCTCCGAAATGCGTAGCACCCCATCGGTCAAGAACAACACAATTTGCTCGCCACACGTGGTGCTATTGTTTACGTTTTGGTAGACGCGATGCCGGAGAGACGGAGTTTTCTCAACAACTGGGCCCATTGCCTACATATAGGAGCAAACGTCGTTCGAGGCGCGCACCAACTTCCCGAGTGCAATGTACTCGCGGTGCGGCNTGTGAATACTTAAATTCTACATACATTTTTTTTTTTTTTTTTTCAGCTCATTAATTTTCTCGTATATATATTATGATATAAAAAGCCTCGAAAGGCGGAAAGACGAGTCGATATCGGTATAACGACGCGTGAATAAATGACGAGCGCGCCTGTGCCACAAGTACATCTTACATTATAAAACAGCCGAAACCGAGGCCAATGACAGTATCCAGGAGCTTGACGAAAATATCGGATGAATATGTAATACGCGCGTGTATAAATATTTCAGGGCCCGTGCGAGAACAAATGTGACGAC